AGTTTTGTAATTGTTGTGTGGCTTGTTGAGCTAATGCCAAGAGCTGTTGTTGAACTAAACCCAAAATGGATCCAGCAAATTGCTGAGCTTGAGCAATAGCTTGGTCGAGAATAGCCAAGCGTTGGTCGGCCATACAGGCACCGAAACAAGCGAAGAACAATAATGCTAAACCAGCGTTCATTTTTGAGTTGAGTTGAGTATTAGAAAACTTGGTAGGACGATTGAGTTGTGTTTTCTGTAACTGTGAAATACTAGTATTTATACTCTTGAAAACAGCCCACGTTATATGCTAACAGGTGACAATGTTCTCTTCGATAGATAAGTATGTATTATTGGAAAAACGAAATTGTGTTAAGTAAAATAAAAAAATTATTTTTCAAGGCTATTCAATGTTGATATTCAGGGTGAGAAAACGCGAAATATGATGCGTTGAGTTATATTTCGAAATTTACTTAAACAAACAACGATCTTTCTAATTTGTTAAAATAATATCAGTATGATGTGAAAGAGGCTGATTTATCCAAGATATATTTCTGTTTTTCAGTAGAAAAGATCCTTTGTGAAGGTAATGATTGACGAAAACATGTACACTAGTATTACGGATGAACATAAGAGTATGAATATTGTGCTAGCCAACGTTTCGAAGTTTCAAAAAGACAGCAGACACTTTTAGTTAATGGATTGTTTACCGGATTCCATGCCATTATGTTCTCGTTGCCAATTGTATTGGTGCTGAGGAATTTTAGTTCAACATCTATTCGTCATTTTAGAATGGAAAAGTGAACATACAAAATTATTTGCGTCTGTCATGATCGTATTTTCGACCATGATATTTTGAAGACTTTCTAACCTTTTCCTTGTTTGAACTATAAGCACTAAAAATGATGCAAAAACAGCCCTTGTTCCAGAGCCCTGCAGGTTGCCAATATTTGGCAACCTATAACCTAACCTATAAAAAATTTCACAACCTAATCCTAACCTAACCTATGGATTCGACAACCTAATCCTAACCTAACGATTGAAAAAAAAAATAGAACAACCTATAACCTAACCTAGCCTATAATCAACCTGCAGGGCTCTGCCTTGTTCTAACAATTTTGATCGTAATGTAAAGTAACACAAGTGCAAAACCAGGTACAGGAGAAGATGTTAGAATACACGCTATTTTTTCACTTTTACCAATTATTAATATCCACCCAATGCTTAATCTTATATATTTTAATCACATTTAGTTCCAGTATTAATCCAGGGTGACAAACATACTCCTTTCGGATTTGTACTGTCAGTACTGTGTGTTTTACTATTGTTTTGTGGATCAATATAAGTTGCTGTCAAATATCTTTACAAATCATGTTTAACGAGAATCGATGATTTTGAACAACTAATTTTAATTTATTAACAAAAGCCTCATTTAAATAATCAGTGCAGATATCATTGAACGGTGGCAAATGTCCTTTAATCTGTTCACGTTTGATTTTTTCAACCTCTCGATAAGATAAATAGAAGTCTACATTAGAGACATTATGCGTCACATTTCCAAGCCAATGGACTGTTTCCGACGAGAATACTTTGATATTACTGCTTCGTTTTCTGTGATATGCATAGTTTATAACTGTATCGTGGGAGCTGATGTATAATGTAAATCTTTGAGTTTGAATGTTGATCGAGGTATAGATTAGAATCAGATAAAATTGTAAACTGTTTATAGCAGTATGGATCACACAATCCTTCACGATAGAATCAGGATCGAAAGCTGAGTCGACTGATGTGTATCTCTATCCTATAGGAGGATTTTTATGTTTTTCGAATTTTTACGTTGAAAAAACATAGAGATTTTCGCCAAAAAATAAAAATGAACTAAATATTTCGAAATACACATCAGTCGACTCAGTTTTCGATCCTAATTCCGAATGTGATATGTTTATTACATAGAACTTGAGTTCTGATTGAGAAGATTGAGAATTGATCAGTTTTTGCACACCAGAAATGATTTAAAACGGATTTTTCAGACAAAAACGGCAAACATTTAAAAAAGTGGCTCGGACAATCGATAGAGCTCGAAATGTTCTATCGAATGATATATCGCATGATTTGCTTCGATTTGTTCTGACATTAGGAAAATTTACTTTGTTCACTGGAGTGCAACTAATTAGTGCTAACCAGAACTAATTGGTAATTAAAAACGGTCAGAGATATCGTTTTTAAACTTCTTTTGTATGGAATTATTTATCTGTAAACAATTCTCTATAAAACTACATTACAATCAATCGAATGTAACATTTATGTCGAAAACTCGAAAGGTTTTAAAAGATGCCGCTCAAACTGAAAATTTCAATTAATTTTGCACTTGATTAATTAATAACCCTATCAATAGTTGACCAACAAGTTTTTTATTGCATAGGTATAGCACCGCAGGTGTTCTCTACAAACTGGCGAAGTTTAAGAGCATGTTTAGGGTAAGGATACCAATGGCTCATCACCATTACATTGTTCTCCATGCTTGATCTTATTGCATTTTATAGAAATTCTTAAAACTTCGAAGTTTCGCGGGTTTTAGTAAGAGAGATAATAGAAGAAAGAAATTATGTATTAAATTAATAAATAATACAAGTCGTTTCCGCGGAACAAAAACGAAAAACAAGTCATAATTAAAAGTAAATTTCGATTCTTTTATGATTCTTGTCAATTTTCAACTTCAAATTCAGATCTCTTCTTGTTAACTTTTAAACTTCAAGTTAACATTTCTCTCGCATTCTTCTCACTTTTCAAATTCAAATTCACATCTCTTCTCTTCTTCCTCTCTCACATTCAGAGAAGGAGGAGCTCAATTCTACATTACATCTTCTTATCTCATTCAAGTTAAATAATTTCTCTTATTTACAAAATATAATTTAGTATTTTCGTTATAACTGTGCTTCTTATACCGTAATAATTTCCGTTTGCATATTCTCTTCCTCACTCCTTCTCTTCATCAACATTAGCAACTATTCAACAACATTCCATTATCAACATTCAATTATTACTGTTCTTCATTAATTGAAGAAGAACAGACTTTCATTACTGTTAAAATTATTTGTATTAGTAATTAGTTGGTAATAAATTGTTGATTTATAGAGATTCTGAACTGGGATTGTTTTGTGAGCTGTTAGTACAAGGGCACCTGACGCTTACAATTGGAGGTTCTATCCAGATTTCTGGTACAGCATATATTTTGCACAACCAGAACAACTTCGCCCATATCATTATTACCAACATTTACACATACAAAATTAACATTCTTACATTAATTCATTATTAATCATAAAGTATTCATTTAACAACTCGATTTCTTCTGGCTGTTTGTAATTACTTGGGTAACATTCATTCTCGATAGTTACAGATTTCTCGGATAAGATTTTTCCAAGCTGTTAAGGAGGCTGTGGTGTGGTAAGAAACCTTTAGAGGACATTTCGCTTTCTGAATTTGAGATGTCGCAAAATATTCCGATAGATAAACATAAGAAGGTAGCAGCAGCTCCGCGTTTGAGCAGTTCCATCGATAGGGATGCTTCATCTTTAGAACAAGAACCATCGAAGATTTTTGTAAAAACAAAACCCAAGACTTCTGTAACTCCATCATTAGTCTCCGTTTTGTCTCGAGGTAGATGTATCAGATCCAATACATCATGTACTGCACCTAATCTTTCTGTCGCTAGTGGTGGAGTTGATGCTAACGCATTGTTGCTCGAAACTATGAAAATGCAGAATATGCATATACTGGAATCTGTGAAAATACAGAAAGAGCAGGCAATTAAAGCCCTAGAAATGCAGATGGAATCTATGAAACTACAGAAGGAGCAGGCAAAGGAACCTTTGGAAATGCAAACAAAGGCTATAATTCGAGTTATGGATAAGCAACAAAGCTCATCTCGAACACAACTATTGTCGGCTAATACGTTGACAGCAGCCTCTCGAGATGTTATTACCGTAATTCCTGGAGCTTCTAAAGCTCAAGTTTCGACCGCATCTTTGCCCACACAGCTGTTGTATGCTTGTGACTCGGATCTTTCGTAGCATGCTAGTTTGCTAAGTTGCTGCCCTGCTTTTTCCTTTGCAGAGAAGAGTGAGCGATTTGATGGGTGTACTACTATGTGTTTTCTCTCTTTGAGAACAAGTTTTCAAAGGCGGGATTACCTTTACTCCAACATATGCTACTCTCTTGTTTCTTGATTCGAGGACGAATCTGCTGGGGAAGGGCGGTCCTTGTAACGGCTGCGTTGTCGTTCAACTTCACTTCACTTCACTTCATTTCACTTCACTTCACTTCACTTCACTACACTTCCCTTCACTTCGCGCGATCGATCAGACCTATTTTCGTTCTCCTTGTTTTTTTTTTTTTTTTAATAAAAGTTAAAAAATTTATTAAAACTTATTAAATTTATCAGGTTTTGTGGATTATACTTGTTAGTTATACGGTATCATATATCGAAAACGTGTTATTGTTGTTGTGGTTTAAGTCAAGGATCTCATTATGCCTCGCAAGAGGTTAAAACCACCGCCAGAGTTTTTTAAAAGTCCAACACCTACAAGTCAATCATCAGCAGAAGAAGAAGAGCGAGAA